TTTCTTGTGCAAAATGGAAAGCATTTTGCAGTGCATGTGTATATCTAGATGAACTTGGATTTAGAATTTTGTATACAGGAAAAGAATTTGGTACTTCTGAGTTTCTGAATAATTCTGCAACCTCTTTTGGTCTGCAAGCACTTTTCCTGAGTTTAAATATACTTCGGTTTCTTTAGAAAAAGAAATGTAATCTTTTATACATACATATGTATGTGCTACCAATGTATAATTACAGTTGCTCGTTTATTTAAATTTGTGGTTTGTATATTGTTTAAGGTATTTTTATGTGCTCATGAACTATCTGATCACCTGCAAAAATAGCACTGTTTCATCCTCTCTTTTTTGGCACTCTCCTTTTCACTTTGTCGCTTAAGACTGATTCTGTGACTCAAACTCATGTCCTCGGTATCCTGTCAGTGCAGGACAGACACGGCTGCACTTTCAAACTATACAAAAAGCCAATCTGAATTTATGCTGTAGTGTTAGCAGGCAGCTGGCCTCTGGACTTTGGCTGGGGCAGGTACACCCGCTCTGACATCAAGGCCAGTAGTACAGAACCTTTTGAAACCGAATTTGAGCTAGAAGACAGTTTGTACCAGACCAGCCTATGCATGATGTTGTTGCTGCATTTCAAGTCTGGCATCAAGTTTCAGGGATGATGTGGTGTTTTCTTGGGCTGTGGCACAAGTTCAAGCTTTCACCTTGCAAGGGAGCTAATTCAATCACTCAGCTTTTGGTGAAAGGAGCAACACCAGACTGCACAACAGGTGCAGGAGAGAGCGAAGACAGACCATCCCTTTGGCAGCTTAGGTCAACGTAGCTGTGACACAAAACTTCACTGTCACCCATCACTAGTGTGATTTTTAAAAAGAAGTGCATCTTGCATTTATGAATACTCTGAGCTTCCTGCCAGTCTAGTCTGGCACCAGTCTAGATCTTCTAAACCAGAAGATCACCTGTTTGAGCCGTGAAAGAACTAGTAAAACCTATCTGACAGCACCCCAGTTATGTGTTTAACGTAGCTCATACCAAGGTTGGCAGGAGCTGCTCTTCTTTGCCATAAAGTCACTGGGAGCAGCATTTGCTTTGACAAAATAAAGTCTCAGCCTGGGATTCAAAAATATCTTGTGGAATCTACATGTACCGTAAGGCCTCACAGTACAATTCAGAAGCAATTTTGCTCATTTGGTTAAACAGCTGCAATTCGGTCACCAGAGAATTGTATGAGCACACAATATTTAGTGTTTATGTTAGGAATATTTTATTACCAGATTTTAAGATTATTTTTTTTTTGTGTGAAATTCATCTAATGATGGAACTCTTAATGCCAAACTAATCACTTAGCTTGTCATGAGGAGGACACAGGTGGTGGCACATATCTCAGGACATCCACAGCTGGAGCAAAGTTCACCTCCATACAAGCAGAAGTAGTTTTACTGCTCCATATGGATTGAACTCTGAGTTGTCTGCACTGTTCCTGAATCCTCATGTTCTCCGGGAAATACCCATGTCATAAACCTAGCAGTTATTCTGCAAGGACATCTCTAGCAAGTTCTTAAATTGGCATCTTGAATGATACCGTGCGTTGAACAAGAATGGCCAACTTACTGTTGCTTTTACTAAAGGAGTTTTTCTTCGTAACAGGTTTTAGGCTGCATTATAAGTTGAGATTTTTTATTTCTGTTACGTACTGTTGTAAAATATATTCAAGGCACTGCTTAGACATGGCATTTATCATAGGCTTACACTAATGTATACTGACATTACACCTGCTCTTTGTAGACCAAGCCACCCTGGTAGAGCAAGTGAAACGAGCAAAAGAAATTGAAGCTATTGAAAGTGACTCCTTTGTTCCACAGACATTCAGATCAAGTAAAGAAGTCAAAAAGGTAAGTTTTCAATATCCTTTCTTGGTGCACAATCCTTTCAAAGTCACGTGGAAGCTGCGCTATTAAAGTTTCCATTGATGAAAGAGCGTCAATGTTGACAATCTTAAATCCCACCAACAACTCTTCAATGTTCTTGGTGTGGTGTTCAAAGAGCAAATTTTAATGTGTAAGAATTTCAGGGAAATTGGCTGTTTTGACAGTATACTTACATATGGTGAGCAACTCCATTTTTTAAAAGTTCTTTTAAAATAATATAAATCCATGAAGATTTTTTTTTTCTCATAGGAAAAGTAGAATTAAAATCCAAAAGTAATCAGACATTTACACTGTGATTAAAGGTAGAGGTCTGTATTTTTTTTATTCTGCTTAACTGAAGCCAGACTGTAAGATCAGATTTACTCCCTGATCCAAACTGGCATTGGTTTCAGTCAGCTGTCCAAAAACTTAACAGGGGACATCCAGTTTCCAGAATTTTACCTGCCTTTTGGCTGTCAGATCTTCTAGGGAACTTGGACGCTTTTGGTTTTGGAAGTATGCAGGCAAAAGTTTTGTTCAGGTTTTCCATCTGAATTTTTGAGTTACCACTGTTTGTTTCCCCAAGAACTTGCATTTTCTTGCCTTTTCAAAGTCTCCAAGAAGTTCCTGCAGCCTCTTCAGAAGTGATCCAAAACGCCAAAGCTAAGGTTCTGCAAGCTCTCTCATTGCCCAAGGCAATGAGTTTGGGTTTGTTTTTTTTCAGTTCATGTGCTTAGTTTGAACTTTAGTCCATGCCCAGTGTGTCCCACTGACCATGCTGAGAACTATTTGCATGAAGATCCTTTCGTGGGCATTCATTGCAATAAGAGGAAAGCTGAGCACTCAATTACAATTCTGCCACCTTTGGGAGTTTGAAGATAAAATACTCAGATGTGTTTCTTTCTTTTTAGTCAACAGAACCTACCGAACTACAGTATGAACCTGTAACTATCGGAGTGGGAGCTGTTGATACATCTGCCCCTGAAAAAGAACGACCATCTGCCAATATTCCTACTGCCATCAAATATCAAGATGATAATTCTTTAGCACATCCAAATGTAAGTGTGCCAATATTTACTTCGTCTTTAGAACAAGACAGCCCACTGAAAAAGAGCATATAACTTCATATATCTAACAACCATTTTGCTTTGCTGCTCATCAAATAACCTGTGGTCTGAAGACCGTTAGCTAATGGGCCGTTTATTGGCTTAAACAGGATCACACTCCTTGCACCATCTGACAGAGAATAATTACAAAAGAAGTTCACTAGTGATACAGTTTTAGAACTACAAACAAATTTTATAACAAAGTAGCACAGTAATTGAATGCAGGGGAAATTAAGATACTGTTCATATAAAAATCCCTGTTCAATAAAAAATTTCTGTAGTTGGAAACCTGGTGAAAGACCCAGAACTTGTCGACCTTGCCAGATTGTAAAGCTTTAAATACATGACAAACTTAAGATCATTTTAAATCATTAAGGCTAAACTTATCCTTTGTAATTGGAAATAGGAGTATTTACAGTAGAGTTTTTTTTAAGTATTAGCAAGTTATAAATGACTTGCAGTAAATAAACTAATCCGAGTTCTGTATAGTGAACATGGCTAACAACGGTTAAGACCTGTACAATATGGCAAACTTGCTGTTTCAGGAGAAGACTGAAATTGGAATGTCTTGGCTTTCTGATTCTTAAAAGTCACTACCTTTATGAATGTATTTCTATCACCTTTGTATTTTAACACCCCTGTGCAGCTGGGTGCCTTTGGGCACCAAAATAGTCTGCACATGTTTCAACATAGTATAGCAAATAAAGAAAAAGTTACTGAGTTGTTCCTGCTTTTCTTCCTCTCCCCCTTGTCTGTCAGCTGTTTATCGAGAAGGCAGAAGCAGAAGAGAAGTGGTTTCAGAGGCTGATTGCTCTCCGGCAAGAACGGCTGATGGGCAGTCCAGTGGCCTGAGCAAACCACTGCGACCATCACATACCAGCTCTCCATGAACATTAAGAAATCCTACCATGAAATTGTTTTATTTTTCTCTTTTGAGTAGATTTTAATAGTCAGTATGAGTTGTACAGAAAATAAAGATTTCATCTGAAGGCACAAGAATGTTCTATCCTCCGTTTTTCTCCCAGACTCATTGATAGGTGACTTGTATTGCAGAGTTACCCACTGTAGATAAGCAGGCTGTCAGAGCAGGGTAGTTTTCTCTTTTTGTACTGAATTCCTCTGGGGTGCAAAAAACTTGGCATCCCAAGAAGATGTAATGTTATAGCTTCCAATCAAAAATATATATATAATCATGCAGCAGTTTAAAGAAAAATGCAAAAATAAGACTGGCAAAGTTCAGACTGACTAGTGCACCAACAGTAGGGGTGCGAGCGGTATCACCCTGGGCCATTGCATCTGCTGCAGCGGGAGAAGGATTCAGGGCAAATGATTTCACTGTTATCTCTTCTTCCTTCCACTGTGCATTGCAGTATCCTGAACATCTGTAGACAATCTCCTTGCTGAGGGGCTCTTCTAAATTGATGGGTTGATCCAGCTGCTCCAGCGTTAGCGTAGTTCCTCACTTGTGGTGGGCTTGAGGGGAAAGAAATGTTTCCTTGAACATCTACCCACTACTCTTACCATCTGGGGAAAAAAAAAGTTACTCTTTAAAACAAAATAACAAAGTTTTCAACAGGTTTCAAGAAATATTTTTTTCTGAGTAATTTTAAGCACATTAAATTGTTTGATAATCTACAAGAGCCTCTATAAGAGGCTTTCTGTGAACTCTTAATGGGAAATAATAGAAAGATTATTGTGTGTAGTGGTACAGACTTTTGTTGACCAGACTAGTGGCATACCTATTTCTGTACAGTGACTGTTTTCAGTCTATGAAGCTTCCCTTTGTCTGAGTGCGACTTTAAAATACTGAATTATTAGTCTTATTTGAATCTATCAGATTTAGCCCAACTACACTTACAAAAACAAATCTGTCCTTCATTCCACTAAAGGCCAGAGATCAACCAAAGAAAATACAGTAGTATTTCTTCTGAGGTATCTAGCAAAGCTGTGAGAAAACTATTACATCAGTAGAAGACTAACCTGGACATAACTCTGGACATACCTCACTGGAAATGACCTGCATCAGCTTTCCCATGTGAGTGAAGAAATTCGTAAACCTTTTTTATGGTGTTATTTTTCCTTGTTCTCAAATCTGTGGTGAGAAAAAAAATAAAAAAGGAAGGATGATTCCGGGAATGTTCTTTGGTATCTTTATTTCTTTAAATCACTGATATAAAAGGAAAATGTATTGAATTTGCATTCTGACATGTTTTTACTTTCTCTTTCTGAAATGTGTTAGTTTGACTTGGTCCTGCATTAAAATGGCTGTTTCAATACTGCCCTTTCTTTAACAAAAAGTGGGAAAAAAATTGTTTCCCTTGTTTCATTTCAGCATTTTCAAATGGTAAATATTTGTCATTGTTCTGTTTTCTAATCTCCTTCTGTGTTTCTTTCATAGTAAATAAAAACTGTTTGATCTCCATGCAAGGTACAAGTGTAAATTACTCTTTTTTCATGCATTATATTGGATAATTTTGGTATTTTTATTGTATGCAAAATTATTCCTTTTATGTAATTCACAACACTACAGGATATTAAAAAATTCTGAAAGCTGGTCTGTTATACGTAAGTAAGACTTAGTGGTAATAATAGGGTGTACCTACTATTGCTCATAAATCAACATCTACATTTGTCTAGCAGATCCATGCTGGAGGAGAACTGTGAACAATACCTGGAAAGAAAATGGAAATAGCATTTAAGTAATCTGAACTGAACAGAAGTATGTACTGAAACATGCCAAGCAGACTTTGAAACAGAGCAAATCATTCTAAAGTTGATTTTTATAGTTCCAGTTGCAGATTAGTTATTAGAAGAACTGATAAATAATTACTCAGAACTCTGTGGTTTTCATTAAATATGTAGCTTGTTTATTGGCCCAGTGTCTCTGTTCATTTAAGAAGAGGCATTTTTTTTCTGCTGAGGACCTATATTCTGTCGCCCTATCTGTGTTCCTACTTTGAACATTTCCTGTGCATACTTGAAGTTCATGAAGTCACTGGTGTTGGGAGATGAAGGAATTGTGGTTTTATCTAGATAATGTCTGTTACAAATCAGAAAATGTACTGTCCTTGTTACAGTCCACAAGTTCATGCAATACAGATCTCTAAAGATGCCTAAAGCAAGTCAGCGATGCTCAAGTGTGTGTCCTGGAAGTGAGAGGTCACATGGAGCTGACTCACGACCTCAGCAATACTACATGTTGTGTCTTGCAAGTAAGCTTTAATTTTACTGTGGATGTCTCACTGGGTATGGCTAGGCTGAATACTCAAAACACTGATCATGGAGATGCAGGTGGCCCTTTGCCAGATTCACTTGCAGGGAGGCTCAGCGCTTTCCGAAGCTGAGCCCTCTCTAAGGGGCGCCAGAGCAGTGTTCTACCTTTCTGAGAACCTGTCATTGCCGATTCCACAGCTTAAACTTTCAGCAAAAATCAACACTCTTCCCCTGCGTTTGCTCCTGTGGAGTAAAAGGAAGGTTGCATAAGGCCAGGCGCAGGGTTGTAAGTATAAATCTTCAGACTGCAGCACTTTTGATTCAGGTTGTATAAACTATTTTGCTTTTACTTGAATAGCATCCTGTGATAAATTATTCATTTTCCTGTCAAAGGTAGGAAGATATTTGAGTGTCAGAAATGAAATATGGAAGAAGGCAGCAATATCAGAAATAATCTTCACTCTGTAACCACCTATGCACAACTATGGAGAATTTTGACAAACATTGCTTAAAATTATTTTACAAGACTTGGACACATTTATAAATTGATTGAATCCAAATACGTGTGCACCCCACCATTCCATGTGTGGGGCCTTTGTGTATGAGGAAAAACTAGCACGTGTTACCTAGTCAGTCAGGTACAAATTTAATTAACTGTGTCATAGCATGGACATGAAACTCGTGTCAATGTGTACAAATTAATCGCCACTAACGTGGAAAAATGCACTGCTGACTCACAAGCCATGCTTTTCCTGATCGAAAAAAGAGTGACACCTTTCCACTTAGTTTCTTTGCTTCTAAGGTCTTCTGATGTTCTCACATTTAGCATTTAGGACTCTTGCCTATGGAACTTTATTTGTTTGGTTTTCCACTTTGCTCTGTGCTCCTGGTGAAAGGGAATGGATTCCTGATTAAGAAGGGGAAAGAAACAGCTGTTTGTTAGTTATCCAACTAAAACATGGGACCTGTAGCTGTGTTTTGCAGGTTGTAGAGACAGCAGTGGCATGATTTTGTCATTCAAGACTCATGATGGGGTGTCTCTAATACAATCAGCTCTAACACAAAGTTCCTCCTAATGCCAAACTACCTTAAATCTGACTCGGATGAATGGTGTGTAGGAGTGAAAAGATAATGCTGTAACTTGAGCCATTCAGACTTCTGGTAGTCAGCAAAGACCTCTACCCCTAGAAATTACATTAGCAAACTCATTTCACTTAGCCTGCTGCACAGCCACCGTCAATTAAAATCAAACCAGGCTGATTTTGATTTGATAACTTTCAGGTAAAATGTTCACTAGCCCTTTCTGATTTCTTATCTAGCATCTCCACAACTATTTTTTGTTATGATAATTGCTTGAAAAGGAGGTGTATTTAGTTTTTATTATTATTATTACAATATTTTAGAAAGATTATTGCTACTGAATTAATGATATGTAAGTAAACGCTGTCAGCCAGGAGATCAAATTTTGCTACTTCTGCTTCAGTCGCTCTGATATGAGCAGGACTGGATGATCCTGAAGGCCATTCTTCCATCAGTAACCCAAAACCAACCTTCTCAATGATTACAATTTTCCATTTGTCAAATTACGAGAAGGAAGTTATTTTTAGTGGAGATCCTTGAACTTCAGAAACCTGTTTCAGGAGAGATCAGCTTGAACCTATGACTTAATCCACATATGACACAGGGCTGTGGTGGCTTTTCAGCTTGCAGCAGTAATAAAAGCAATGTGAGGATTATTATTACTCCAGAATTTAAAATATTCACCATTTGTGATGTTGACTTGCCATAGCATTGCCTAATTTATTTTCTGCTGGCTGTTCCCTCCCCTCCTTGTGTTCCTCCTTTGCTAAAACATAGGAAAAAAGAGCAGCAGTGGCTGGGCCAGATTGTATGACGCTGGGGAGCAGACTTAAGACACTGAGTCACTCTGGAATTGCCACTCCGGGGTGAGATGTGACACGATACATCTACTCTTTCTAGAAGGAAGCAGGAGCCGAAGCTCAGCCCAGGCAGTGGAGGAGGGAGCTCAGTGCGAACACCAGCCCTGAGCTATGCTTTGCTCCAGGCTGGGCTCCCTGCTCAAGGTGAGAGCCTTGTGAGCTGGAAATGGTGGTCATGCCATGATTTAAACCCAGGTGAAAATCAAAATCACATCTTGGCTCCTTCAGAAATGGAATATAGACTGAGGCTGCATGGTTGTAAGGATAGTAATAAGAAGCCTTTCAGCCCTTGGGCACCAGTTCTGAACACACTATAATGTAAAGGCTATGGTTTGAAAGGTGGCGTCTCTGCTGAGCTGTCACAGTAAAAATCTGATTCCCACTAGATGTCTCTGCTGTTCCAGAGCAGTTGTCGCTCCGCACCTTGGTGCTGCCTAGAAAGGCCATAGAGATGAGAAGCGTGTAAACCAAATGTACCTTTTTACTTCCTAAACAGAGCTGGAGTCAGGATAACCAGACAGAGCAGTTTGCCTCATAGTTTTCTGGTGCCTTACATTCTACATCTTTCCAAATAAAAAAAATACAGCCCCAAAAGGTAATCTCCAAATATTTACTACATGGCACAGTCCCTGGGGGAGTTTATAGGAAGGAAAAGTGGATCCTTCCCCTCCCTTGTCAGCAAAATTGGCTGCCCAATGTCAGCTGCCCCTCACTCACCAGCACAGCAGCTTCTGGAGCAGAGGGGAGAAGGGGAATGGGGGCGGGGGTGGGCACGGGCACCTTCCTCTGGACACTGCAGATCTCCACATCTCTGGAGGCAGTGGCTGGATTTCCACGTCACAGTTCTGAAAGGAAGGCATAAACAAATCTTGCTAATTACTATTACTGGAAAGTAAATGCAGCTAACATTTGCAAAAATGTCAAATTGCATTTTTTGTTACCTTTTCAGTGGATTTTAGAGTATTTCTTTTATAAATTATTGCTGTCTTATTTCAGTCTTCATACAAGTTGCAGAGCTGGGTGACTATGAGAATTGAGTATATATTTAAATAAAATATTAATGTGAATGTTATTACACATCTACCTCTAGTTGCTTGCAGTAAAACGATGCTTTTATCTGACATTTACAAACAATTTATAACAAACCGCCTTTGCAAAAGACTCTGCACGGGGCTGACATTACAGATGGAATGTAATCAGCTTTGTAGCAACACTGTCAAAAGGCCACCTCCACTAAAAATACGCTTAAGCCCCTGGAAATTGCGCTGCATCTTTAAGCCTATCTGTAAAAAGCTTAACGGTAAGAAGTATGGATACCTCATTTATGCCAATACATTTTAAATTTAAATAGTAACTGCTGATCCTTACAGAGCTGACTGGGGCCTGAGCACTGATTGTCTGAGTCCTCTCAAATTACCTTCAACCTTGTTCCTGACATTGCTGGGCAGTGCATGGAAATACACAGCTTGGAGCTGATCAGAGCTCCTGAGTGCTGTTACCCTTTTTTTCCCAAAATAATTCAGGAAAAGGACCTATTTTTAATATACTGTGCTCATTCTCAATAGTTGAGTAAACAGAGCTGAACATTTTCCTACACTCTTTGAAGTCTTGCAAAAATGTCATTTAAAAGTAATTGTGTAATAAAAGCTGGGCATTTTTTTCCTTAGGTGAACAGCGAAAACTCTTCTTGACAATTAAAACTGACAATTAATTCTTGCCTCACCTGTGAAACTCATCATATTCCGAGCTGTATAACTTGATGTTGTGATAACTTGTGCTTTTAATATACTTGGTTTGTACAGGACTAATTGAAATGGCTGCTCAACTATCAAGATTCATTTTTAGTTTTACAGACAAACAGCCTAAGGCAGGCAAGACCTTTTGAATTAGTGCAACTGCTTGGAAAAACACACTACTGTCCAAACTGTGGTCACAGATTTTAAACAGTGGAGAACTTTGGCTTCACCTGGTGCAAACCACCTGCAGAAGGAAAAGTGTGCTTTTTGGTTTCCTATGGAAATTGTCTCTTGCAGGCACAGGGTAAATCAAGCAGCAATTGCTACCTAGCTGACTTACAGCCTGGGGGTGTGTTGCGTTTTCTCTTATATTACAGCTTGAGGCCGTGGCCAAATTCTGGGCTCAATTTTGGCAATCTTCACCATTAACCTGATAAAGACTTTGCCCCAGGAACACATTTGCTGCATTTACTCCCAGTGCCAGCAATTTGTTTCCATCTTTCCCTGGTTGTGAGAGAAATGCCCCCACCACAGAGCTCGGCAGAACAGGGTCTCCTCTCTTGGTGCACAGGTTTGAGGAGAAGCCAGTCATCTCCCACACGTCTTGCTGTTAGCCTAATGCACTGCCAAAAGAAGCACCAAAGCCAAGTGGCTTTGCCCCAGTCATCAGAAAAATCATAAATGCCATGATGCTGAGATTAGAGTATGTGTTTTTTTTTTCTCTTCCAGTGCCAAAAGAGAAGTTGCCAGATTTAAGAAATAAACAAGTCATTCACAGAAGACTGATGAAGTTCAGTGTCTTCCACGTGTATTTTGGGGGGTTTTGGCCATTGAGAATGGCAAAATGAGATAGCTGCAAATTACTGAAGTAACTCAAGAACAAAACTCCCTCTGCTTCCTAATACTTTAACATGTGCTGCCAAGATTTTTACAAATCAATAGTAACTGTACATGATGGCAATGGAGCCCATTTAAACAAATATTATTTTTGGATCAAATCCTGGAATCAATAATAAATGCTCCCACTGGGGCCAGGTCTTGGCTGGTTTTGGGGTCTGTTGGCTTTTTAATAACAAGAATATATATATTTATATGTCTCAGTTTTCACTCCACTAAACAAAAACAAGAGGTGAAGACAGAGGGAAAGGTCACAAAATTAGGGCAGATTAAAAGTAATGTTGTTTCACGTGATGAAAAATTAAACTCGGGATTTCGCTGCCATAAGATGTAATTAAAGCCAAAAACTTAAAAACTCTCAAATGGATTATTGCTTCTATAGATGATTTAAGAAGTAACATCGAAATGCTTTGAAAAAGAAACTGCTTATCCTCCAGGTCTTGGAAATGAGTTCGTACACTGATAGTGCAACAGGTCAGGGGCAGGCTGTGTCACACACAACTGTTGGGCACTTTGTAGTAGTTTCTGATAAAACATCTAGCCCAGGTAACTCATAAATAAGACACTGGACGCCACAGAGACTTACCAGGTAATCCAGTGTGGCAGTTCCTACGTTGTTCATATTGGTATTTTGTAAACAGCTATTAAATATGTAAATTAAATGAAATACTGATTTTTAAAAGGGATCGCTCACATTTCTGCACATCTAACAGGATATACTTCACTGGTTCTTTCAGCTGACTCAAAGAAACACACACAAACCACATCATTTTACTTCACTGAAGCCTTACAGATACAGAAGGCTTGAAATCACAAGATGAGGATTTCTGTTGCAGTCTAAATGATATTTGTTGCCCTGACAACAGCATGCAAGCATTATTTATTAGTTCATGCATTATTGATAATCCTCTAATTTGTGTGTGATGGGAGGAAGTTGGTCTGCTAGTAAGTTATAAATGGAGGATTATCAACAACTTGTGTAAGTCGGTGACAATTCTATATATAGCTAGTACCAGTGCTTGCTCTGATGATGCCATAAAACACATTTCTTACCCACTGGTGGTGCAAGGAATCTCCTGCAGCCATGAGTTTCTACTCCAGTCTATGATTAATATTCTTTTTTTCCACTTTGGGTTGGGGTTTTTTTGTTGGATTTTTTTTTTTTTTCAATTTGAAAGACAGAACAATAGATTTTAAAGATATTTCCTAACTATATACAGAGCCCAAAAATAGTCTCAGGGGTGAACACAGAAATGTTTCCTCTCACAGATTCTTGGGTGGGAAAATAGAAAATGTTAGAGTAACAGTAGAAGACAGAGATCTCTTCCTCTACAAGCAGGGATTAATCTTCCCCAGTTTGCATCTTACATAAAGTATGGTTCAGCTTGTCTACTCAAGGCTGACAATGTATTTCTGAAGAGACAAGAACAAAATCACCTCTGGTCAACTCAGAGATAGGT